TCTCTCTCTCCCTCTCTCAATTTTTTAACTGAATCCCTTTCTAATTCCTGTCTTGCGCTGATAAACGGTTCAAGAAAGTAGCTAAGGTGGCCTTAGGGTGCAAGTGAACACCCGTCTGGAATGAAAACGAGTTATCCCATAACCATTAATAACAAGAGGCCGGTGATGTGTGCTTTATTCGCGTATTTTCCTTACACTTCAAGGCAAATCAGTTTTGATCGTTTTTACGCATCAAATGGCACGGCACTGCAGTTTGTTGTTTGAGGTGTGTCTGGGGTGGGTGAAAAAGTTTTTGGATTGGCGGATCTGACCTTTTGAAACGTCACTGATTGCAGATTTCTGTAGAAACTTTGGCATGTTTTAAAATTTGCAAGAAACAAAAAATGAACGGGCTGAAAATTTGGCTCAGATTCTGGATTTTGTTTGTCAAGAAGTTTGGACTGTGACCGTGCATCATTGACGATCGGCTTTTAGTTTGAGGTCTCTTTTGTCATGTTTGTTAAACGCAATAGAAATTGTTCTACAAATGTTGCTGAAAATTTCTCCCCGCCTCGCATATCAGTTGTTTGCTTTAGCTATTGGCTCAGGCGAGTAACTGAATTTTTTTCACTGTTGACAAATCATCAAAACTGTTTTACCTTAAGCCACTAATCATTAAATAGAGAGCTTTTTAATTGGTTGTCGCAAAATCAAAACCAAAGTAATTACAACAACCAATCACGAGAAAGGAAAATACCTTAATTTTCAATGAGAACTCAAAGTACAAATCACCAAAATTGTTTTAACTTAAGCCACTAATCATTAAATAGAGAGCTTTTTGATTGACTGTCGCAAAACCAAAACCAAAGTAATTATAACAACCAATCACGAGAAGGAAAATACCTTTAATTTTCAATGAGAACTCAAAGTAAAGACAAGCAGACTGCGCAAAGCGCGGGAAAACGCGGGCAACTAATTCTTGACTGGTTTCAGTTTTGTATCTGATTGGTTGAGAAAGTGGCGCGAGTTTTCGGAACCAATCACAGAATGAAGTAAAGCAAAACCACAGCAATCTAGGCTTACTTTCATCACTCATTTGACAATTGCTCCAACTGTTAAGTTTACTAGCATTATAACCCACCGTAATATAGACTTTTCACTTGATTTTAATAATTTTTAAGAAAGTGCTGACAAAATTGCAACATCAAGCAAGCAACCTCTCTTAGATTAAAGCTGACAAATTTGCGTCGTTTTGTATTCTGGGTGCAGTTCTCACTTCATTCCTATTTCCAATCAAGGTCAATCAGAAATGTCCGCAAGCTTTAAAACCAGTTAAGTCTTTAAGCTTGACGGTTGGTGACTATGCATCAGCTAATAAAAAAACGCATCTGTAAATCATGAAGAGAAAAAAGAATCGAAGTTAAATGCTTTTTAAACCGCGTAGTGCGCGTGCAGTCATGTCTTTGAAAAGTAACCGAACAATTATGACGCGAGCATTCAACCTCTCTATCGTCGACAGTTAAAAAACATAAAAATGGACGCCCTACCAAACGAGCTACTGGCTTACATTCTGGCGTTCCTTCATCCTGTTTACGGTGAACTGTCTCGCCTCTCCATTGTGTGTAAGCGATGGAGGGAAGTAATAGAGAATACAGCGTCTCTTTGGAAGTGCATTCATTTCACACCCTCCTATCCGGAGTATTTGTCGTCCACCACAAGGGATAGAAGCAAGCTGCGGCACTGCCTCTTTAAGTTCGGACATTTTGTCACATGTTTAAGGGATGACGCAAAAACTTTCACTGACCCAGCTCTCCAAGGACTTCTTTGTCGTTTGAAAAACTTAACACGCTTAGATGTACCCTTGTTGGAATGTGACCTACAGTTGTTACAGACATTGCAGTGCGCAAACGTATTGGAGGAGTTGAATCTTACGAAAGCTACGCGTGATCTGAACTGGCTGTTCCAACCGACATATTCCTTGGAAAAAGGTTTCGTTACGCCGCAACATCTACAGATGCTTCTTTTAAGATTTCCCCATCTCAAAGTTTTAAAGCTTGCACTTGATTCTATCGTGTCCCCACCACCTACTTTCATCGCGTTTCTCCAAAAAGCAAACTTAAGGGAACTAGAACTCACTGGGTTCAGTCTCCGCCCAGCGTTGCCGCCGCATATCATCCATAACAGAGACATGTGTTTGAAGACCATTGCTTCTTCTCAGCGACTCGCTGCTATAGTCACTCGCTTGGAGCTAGAAACATGCCCACTCTTTTTTACAAGCGATCACTTGCGAATAATGCTAAAGCTCATGGTTTCACTTCGGCATCTGATTATTGGTGCTGGTATGGTTCATCGCGATCGGAAAAGTCTGTTATCCATTGAATCTCCTTCGCTTTGTACCCTGATGTTAGATGGGTTATCGACCTTACGAATGCAGTGTTTGCGTTGTAACACACCGCTACTGAAAGAATTCCAGTTGGCAAACTGTCTCGATCTGACTGCTGCTTTTGTCTTTTCAGAATCCTTGGAATCGATGTGTTTGCGTAATCTCGCAAACATTCACAACCTTAAATCCACTTCGACACGTTTGAATCATTTGGAGTTTGTAGGGTGCCACTCTATGCCCATTACAACCTTGCGCAATTTCCTAAAAGGACACAAAACAATCAGTAAGCTCTCTATCGTCGGAGAGCTCACTGGTCTGACGCTGTTTGGCACTATGTGCCCAAATCTTAAAGTGTTGAACATTTTACTCTATCAAGTGCCTAAACTCAGGAGTATAAAGATCGACTGTCCTACACTAGAACATTTTCACTGTGATGTGTATAATCGAGGACTATCTACGCCAGACGAACCCGAGGCATTTTCGAACGAGCGATCCACATGTTCGATTTTCATCCGAGGCCAAAAACTCAATCACGTGTCAATAAATTTGCCTAATGCAACTGCTATTGCCGTGAAATGCGAGGAGCTTGGTTATTTAAGTGTAAAGATGAGCGAGACAGAAAGCGATAATAAAGCCGCACTTGACTTTGAAGTTATCTCTGGCACAATTGCGTTGGTAACAACCACTAACTGTAAGTTTTCGCGTTATTACCTCCAATCTAGATTCATTGATCAATTAACTCTGGAATTGTGTGAAATAGAGAGTGGTTGGGAAACCATACCACGCCTAGAGGTCCACACAAAGGCCATCGACAGGTTACGACTGGTCAGCTGTCTCCATTTACAATGCGCTGAGCTTCGCATTAGACAAGAGAGAATTGAACACGTGTCGTTTACAGAATGCAACAATTTGCGCAATATAGTGATGTCGCGCGCAGTGAAACATACTCCTGAGATGACCGTGGTAAAATGTAGGAGCCTGGAAAGTATTTTCCTTTCGTCTGGTAGGTGTATTGACGTGTCGGCTCTAAACGTAGCCTGTTATAACACCTGTCTTAACGTCCCCAGACTACCACAAAGGTGTGACGATAAAACCTGTCTCATCTGTCCAGAAAAAGCTGAAGAGGATGACTATATTAATTAAAAGAGTCTTGTTTTAACTTGACAATAAGAAAAAATTATGTGTATTTATTTTTTGTTCGCGCATTATAAATGTATGTATCCTGAATAAGTTATTGAACTTGAAGTTCACTGTACTTTTTATGTTTTAGCCCACAGTTGAACCTACATGAAGCGGTCACTCACGGGGAATGGTGACTGCTTAACACAGGTTCCACAGATTACGGTTATTATAAAAAACGATAGACAACGCAACTTTGTGCCATAACTGACCACTTAATGTATAGAATCTCACTCAATAAAAAAAAACTACTTACTTTGATTTTGCGAGAGAAAAAATTACTTGAAAGATTATTCCTAGTTATATTTGGGTGGTTCCGCCTTCAGTGACCGTTCGATACAGGTGCAAAACAATAAAAACAGGCATTTGGAAAAAGGGTAAAGGGTGTCAGCGACCACTAAATAGAGGTGACCGCTCAATAGAGGTGACCGCTCGATAGAGGTGAAAATTACAGTGATTAAGGGGAAACGAATTCGGGACTTTGATTTTAGATTCTGTTTTGAGCTTTACCGTAAAAAATTATCCGTTTTAAAACACCTTGACCTACTGGCATGTGTGGTTGTAACTTTATGAGACAAATTGGTTCTGACAGCCTGAAAGCACGCCACCTAGTCATGACAACGTTCGGACATGTGCAGACGTTTGGCCGTTGTGTTTTCGCAACCTACGTTTTCACGAAAGGGAAGGTTTTTGTGTGAGACAGAAAATGTTACAAAAAAGAACAATTCGAAAAACTCAACAAAACTTTTTGGTAGATGTAAACCACAGAATAGTTTGAACAAAAGTTAAAAGCGTGAACAGAAAAGCAAACTAGAGAGCGAAAGTATCGGCAATCGTCACTAATCAAAATCCAAACTAGTAGCTGATCAGATAGTACGTTTAAATTCAACCGACGCGTTTCGCCTGTCAGCAATCTTCTCTGCCTAAAACAATTTCAGTAAGTAAGCGATTCAGCAGCAAGCACAACACAGAAAAGTCCAAAGAACAAAGCAAATTATGAAAATATCATGTCGAACTTGGTTCTGTAACAGGTTGCCGCTCTATCTGAATCATG